GTGTCTCACATTTCTTACTGTGGCTGGAGGAAGCAGGCCCTGTCTTAGCCCTGCCTTTGGAATGAGAAAAATGATGCCAGAGGGACTTGCCCAAAGTGGCGTAGGGACTGCTGAGCACCAGGACTGGATTCAACTTCAGGAGTTCTGCTTTCTCTTGGTCATTGGAACCCCCATGAAGCTGCTTAACAAGCCAGTGTCAGTGCCCCAATGACCTGTGGGTCCTCTCAGGTGCAGGTTGCTGTCTCTACTCTCCGACTCAGCTGTGCACCCTCCAGTGTGGACCAGCTCTGATGTGACAGCTGGTCTGTGATATGACGATGACAGAGGCTAGCCCTACACTGAAAATCCCATGTTTCTCCATTAGTAACCTCTTTATTTGTGAAGAGTCCATTTATATCTCCCAGGATCCTCCTTTTATAGAACATTGCTGGGTTAATAGCTCAACTTCTAGAAGACCTGAGGTTAAAGATGGCTGTGCCATTCATAACCCCCAAAGGGAAGAGGTCAGAAGGATCCGACAGCCGCCTCAGGAAGGCCTCAGAGTGCTGCTGAAAGGCTGAGCTTGAGGATGGGGAGCAGCCTGGCTGCAAAGCAGCAGGGCCCCAGCTAATTGGCACGTCTGGGAAAAGTGCTTATATTGTCAAGACTCTGTAAGGCAAGGGGCAAGGACCCCGGTGATTAAGTGACCACAAACCCATCCAAGAATTACCCATCAGGGGGATTGCAAGTTGTGAGAAAGTTCCTCCTGTTTGAAGAGTGAGTCAAATTTGGAAGGGATCCTTTCCCCTCGGCAGGCAGACCACCAAACCCTAAACTCCACCTTGACCAAGACCCCCACCCCTGAAGTTCTCTGGAGGAACAATTATAGTTGGTTAAGAAGTCCCCCAAGCTGATTTGACCTGCAGCAAACCCAGCAAGTAGACACCCCCTTTCTGTGATGTGTGAGGAGGGGTCGCCTCCAGAGAAGGGCCTGGGCTGTTTGCCTAAGTGCTGCAAGCTGGTCAGCCTGGAAACCATTATTATAATCATCCAGAGAGTCGGGAGCAGACAAGTTGAAGCAAGTTGAAATTTGAAAAACATATTAACAGGGGCCTGACGAGACGCCAGAAGAGCCTGCCAAGCAGGGACAGCTGGAAGACCAATTTCTGAGTTAGTACTGAAAGGTGGTTGCTTAAATATCCGAGTCAACACACACTGATTTCTCTCCGGCTCAATACTCCCATTTAATTGCACTGGAGAGTCTCCCCACAGACACATCTAACACCCAAATACATAGTTGAGTAAAAGAAAGTACATTATTGAACTGCAAATGAGGTCTGTGCAACCCACAGGCCAGGTGCTCCCTCCTCCCTGGCAGAAGGTGGCCAGGCCTTGCAGGGACTCCGTGAGGCCCTGTTGTAAAGAGGGCTGAGGGAAGGGCCGAGCACCGACCTCAGCTGGCTGCAGAGAGGGGTCTATGCAGTCTCCTCATGTGCTGCCAAAGTTCTGAGATATGTTGTCAGGGTCCTCAGGGGAGAGGAAGGCAGGGATGCCCGCTTCCCACGCCTGGGAGCCAAGGCAGATGGAAAGGCCAGCAGCTGGAGAGCCATCACGTCTGGCAATCAGGTGACAACCTGGAGAGGTTGGTGGCAGATACTATCAATGAGATGAGTTTTGAATGTCTACCCAGCCGCTAAAAGCCTGGGAAGCAAGAGGATGGCTGAGGGGTCCTAACAGGCATTGGCTATGAGAGCAAACCCTTTCCCATAGTGATGCCCACATAGGGCCAAGTGGAACAGCCCTGGGTGGTGCCGAGAGTGGAGTCCTACATAAGGGCCAAGTGGGCCGGCCCTGGGTGGTGCCTAGAGGGGGTCCCACATAAGGGCCAGGTGGGACAAGCCCTGGGGTGGTGCCTAGAGGGGGTCCCACATAAGGGCCAGGTG